AGGCGGTCCCCATGTGGGACATGTGAGAACCCCTCTTGTGGCACCAGCTTCAGGGCTGCTGCCTGTAGACCGAGCGATGCCCCACCCGTGCCTGTCCGTTCCGTGTTCTCCGGCTACGTTGTGCTGTCCGCCCGTACGGGCCGGGGCTGAGGGAAGAGCTGGACCACGGGGTGCGGCCACCTGGCCGACACGGGGCGCAGTGTTGTGTTGCGTTCTTGTTCCGTCCTGTTCACTCCTCTCTCCGATCCTGTCGTTGTCCTTGCAGCTGTGTGACATGAGTGCCGCAGTGTTGGATACGTGTGAGGGGAGCTCAGGGTAAGCGGCCCCAGCCTCGCGCCCCCTGCCAGAGCCGGCGGCCACAGCCCTCCGCACCGCACTGCATGTGGCTGGGCCCTGCATGGCCGATCCTTCGGTGCCTCCCCCAGCGCAGCAGGAGCTTTCCGGGGTCCCTGGCCGTGTCGGGGTCTCTTTCCTGTCCTCAGGAGCTGGGGACAAAGCCAGGCAGAGGCCAAGCTCATCTGCTCACCTTCTGTCACTAGCACCCCTCCCCTCCCTGAGGCTGAGCTGACAGGGATCAGGCTGCTCTTCCCAGGACAGACCTGCTGACTTCTCTGCCCCGCGTCCCAGGCAGTTCCTCACCTCACCTTGGTTCAGGGACCTGCCCACGAAGGGCCGCCCAGGCCACGGGCAAAACCCCCGCAGCCTGGACCTGTCTCGGGGGAGGGTGCCCTGAAGTCCACGCGCCTCCTCCAGGACCAGGCTGGGGCTGGCGGATCCTGGAGAAGCCATAGCATTAGAGTGCGTCCTGAGCCCATCCCCCCAGCTTGGTAAAACACTGGGGAACATTCACCCAGCTTCTGGCTGGTCTCCTCCTCTAAAGAGCAGGCGCTCTACAGTGAAACCAAGGCAAGGACATGAACGAAGCCAGAAGGAACGAGGTGCTTCTGCCTCAGTCAGAGGGGTGGCCAGAGCTAGTCTGAGGGCCCTCCAGGGGTGCCCCATGAGAGCTGCCAAGAGCAGGGCCAGCAGGGCCCACAGGCCTCCTAACAGGAAACAGTGCCCCCAGCCCTCAGCACCGTCAGTGATCCCCCTCAGGGTCTCCAAGAAACAGCTGGGTCTCCTAGCCTGGTGCTCTTTGCCTGCTGTCCCGGACGGTCACACGACCCTCACCACCCTGGGCTGTTCCCATTTGACTGCCTGGCACAGGGGAGAGCAGAAACCTGTGCAGGGTCACGTGCTGCCTGGTGGTACGGATGGGTGGGCCCCACACCAGCAGCAGCCTCCCACGAGGCACCCAGGGGTAGCCCAGAGGGAAGGCAGGCAGGGCTGAGCCCAGCAAGCACAGGCTGCAGTGACTCCCTGACAGGAGCTTGGGAGGCGGGAGATGACCTGGGTTCCAGAGCTTCCATGTTTGTACAGTGTCTCTTAGGACCATGTTCAGATGTCTGTCTGTCTACATTCTTGAGGCTGAATGTTTGTTTTACCAAAAAAAAAAAGCAAAATAAGAAACCAATAAAACCCCACCTCCCAGGCCTGGCCAAAAGCTGCTTCTTCCCAGGTTGTTTTCCGCAGTTTAGGCCCGGGCGGAAGGCGTGGTGAGATTGCTGAGCAGGTGGGTAGGTGGCATGGCTGAGAGTGAGGGTGAGCAGGCCTGGTCCCCAGTGAGCCCTGCAGGCCGGGTGAGCAGATGGGGTTCCCGGTGAGCCTTGCAGGCCAGGTGAGCAGATGGGGTTCCCGGTGAGCCTTGCAGGCCAGGTGAGCCTTGCAGGCCAGGTGAGCAGATGGGGTTCCCAGTGAGCCCTGCAGGCCAGGTGAGCAGATGGGGTTCCCAGTGAGCCCTGCAGGCTGGGTGAGCAGATGGGGTTCCCGGTGAGCCCCACAGGCCAGGTGAGCAGATGGGGTTCCCGGTGAGCCCTGCAGGCCAGGTGGGCAGGTGGGGTCCACAGGGCAGCGCAGCCCAGACCAACCTGGGGCCCCGCCTGTGCAGAGCTGCTGGACCTTCTCAACTCTGTAGCTCGCAGGGACCCAGACTCACAGGCGCTGAGCCTTCACCTCAGGACCCTCTTTCCGATCCTCTCCTGGGGACAGAGCCATGAGGTGAGCGGCTCCAAGGACTGAGAGATGGGGAGCAGACAGTTTGCTGTAACTTCCACCCAGCTCCTGGGGTTCTTCTGCCAGGTCCTTCAGACATCGAGGTATACTTACCGTTCACAGCCTTAGAATTACACTGTCTCAGGATGCCCCATTTGCTGGAAAAATGGTGTTTTTTCCTCTGTCTCACATCCTGTCTCTGCAGGCTTTAGGGAACTTAATGCAATTCCAAATTCCAGGAGCTGCCAGGGGGACGGCCCAGAGGCAGTGAGTGTGTGGGCCTGTGCTAGCAGTGCTGAGGACACCCCTCCCCCACCCCGCTCCCTGGCAGGTCTGCGCTGGCCCACAGGCTTGCTTAGTAGAAGGGAAGCTGCCCAACCCTAATGTGACGCTGCAAGGACGCTGGCCCCTACCGGCTAGCCCTCAGTGGCCCACGCTCGCTTCCTAACGCTGACTAGCTGCCTGCTCTTGGTGCTGGGTCTCCTTAGCCGCAGCCCCTCCCCACTCACCTCTCTCTGCCCACTTCCAGATCTCGCTCACTTCGAAGTCCCCTCCATCCACGTGGAGCTCGGGCCGGCGCTCCGCCTGAGCCCCCTGGAGCACAAGCTGCGGCCCCCGGTGGCTGAGAAGAGGGACTCGGAGGAGGACTCAGAGAGCACCGCCCTTTGACACGCGTGTACATACCTGGGCCCAGACCAGCACATGGCCAGGCGCCCTGGGCCCAAGTTCTCCATGGCTCTGGCTGTCACTGCCGCGCACGGCGGGAGTCCTGCAGAGCGGTCACCCCCGGCCTGAGTGGCAAACGTCGGTGGTGCAGGTTTTGTTCGTTCCCCTCGGGTGGTGACGTGGGCCTTTTGTTTGACCTTTGCCTTTGACTTTGTGCCTATTTGACCTACTTTCAGCCTCCATGCCAAGCAGCAGCCCTCTCCACCAAGGGCTCCTGTAGGTCCTCTGCAGGGGGGTGGGGAGGGCCAGGTGCTGGGTGAGACCTGGGCTGCCCTGTACTGACGGCGACATCGAGGCCTCCAGTGTCAGCTGGACGGCCACAGAAGGGGACAGAGAGCAAGTCCTTTACGTACAGGGACGAGTCCTGGGCGCTGACTTGCGCTGCACAGGGAGGCTGCCCTACTCTGTGGGTTGGTTCTAAGTAAACGCTGAACACATTTGTTTTACTTCCCAAGTTTTATTTTCCACACCGTGTTACCGGAAGCTCCTGTTTCCACCTTACCGTTTCACACTTCCAAATTTAAAAAATGACCTTGAGGATGTCTCGAGGGCCTGGAGACATCTCCCCACGTCCCCCCCAAACATCAAGTGGTCTGACAGTAATTCTACACCTCCGGCTCTCAGGGGCACCAGTTCACAGGTACGGGGCCGGGACCAGGAGCCTCTCCGGGAGGGCACTTGTGAATAGCAATAACTGTTACCCAGAGCACGGAGCAGAGTGAGACCGGCCCCAGCCTCAGGCTCTCTCCCCTTCTCACAAGACCCCACTCCCTGTCGGGACACGCGGGAGCACTGGGAGCCCACGCTCTGGGACTGAGACATCTGGGTCCTGCATGCACAGCCACACTTTACAATTTCACCCTTTTAAGGCAGATATGACATACCTATACAGGATATATTTGTATATATGAAATTTCTCTATATTTGTTTAATTTGAGCCATTCAATCTAAGCCAGTGTACAGGTGTACAATGCGGAGTTTAAGTGCGTCTAGTTTTCCCAGCACAGTGTAAAATAGCCCTCCTCTGGCCGTGGGGTTGGCAGACTTGGGATGCTACCAGCTTTGCTCACTTCCTGGCGAGGGCGGTTCGGTACCCAATTTGCAATGGAGCCCGGGGGGCTGAAAGCACCTTTAAATACATGTACAAATAGTTGTCAAAAGTAAACTTATTAAAATAGATTTATTATCCCTGAGCATGGCCTTTCGTTGTTTTAAGTTATGAAGTGTGTGGGGACACGGGACTTAGTGACAGGTGCTGCTGGGGGAGGTCATGGTTAGGCCAGGCCAAGGCTTCCGTCTGCCTCCTTCTCATCACAGGAATTTTTAAAGCATTTCTGTTATCTCCTCGGTAGGGGAATATAAAATACTAGACACGGCTTTTAAGTCTCTCAGCCTTTAAGCACTAACCTCAGTGTTGTTCAACCTCACAAGGGGGCAGGGGAACCAGCCCGACGTGCTGCCGCTTAATACTCTGAAGGGCAACGAGGGGTTCTGTTCTCACTGCGCCAAGGAGAGCCAACTACAACTGGCTGCTCCCAGCACCACAGGAGGCTGTGTTCAGAGGTGCCACGTGGGCCCAGCCATCTGGCTGGTGCGTGGAGCCGGAGCCTGCGGCAGCCGCACAGCTGACTGGGCAGAAGCCCGGCCACTGAGCACCTCCCTGGGTCAGGAGTGGTCCTCCGGCCGCAGGGCTGGCCTCCGGGACACGCTGGGGCCTGCGCAGGCGGCACCAACCTGGGAGGCTCCTGTGGAGGTGGCACCAGGACCAGGCAAAGCACTCGGTTCCGCAGGGAATCTTTATTGAGCTCTGGGCTCTGGAAACACCACTCCTTGAGCCTTGAGCACTTAGATGTCACTTCCAAGACCGGTGTTCCCTGACACGGCCCGTCTCTAGTGTGCGGAGGGCACGGCTTGGCGGTAACAGCCTGATGTGTGTTCTATGTGACTTAAGTTGCTGGCGCCTGGTTTTCTTCCTTCGGCAGCCTCCTGGCCACAGCTCCGCCAGGCGCATCCATGAGACGTCCAGCACGCACGCCTCACCCGGAGCCCAAGCCGAAGCCCAGCTCCCTCCGCCTTCCCCGTGTGCCGCAGGTTCCAGTACCCTCGCTCCCCAGGCAGAGGGCGCACTCAGGACCCTGCATGGGGTGGGCGTGAGCCTTCTGAGTTCAGGGCGCTCCTGACCTTCATTCTGCCCTGACCTTCCTTGGGGTGCCGGCAGGCTCCTCTGCATGAGCCCGTTTCCGCGGGGGCTCACCGTCCTCAGCTCCACCCGCCTGCGCCTGCGCCTGCGCCTGGGAGAGCAGGGCCGCCTGCACCAGCCGCAGCTCCCTCTTCTCCCGGCGCTCCTCCATCTCCTCCAGGTCGTCGGCAAACAGAGCTTTCAGCGGGGCCATCAGCCTGGGCACCGTGGAGAGGTCTCCGAACCGAACCTGGAGGGCAGGACGGAGAAGACGAGTCTCAGTGAGGAAGGCGCGTGCCCATCCAGCAGGCTCACGGTCCCTCACCAGCCCTGGGGCCACAGACCACAGCTGGAAAAAGAAAGAAAATGTGGAGGAGGAGGCAGGAGACCGAAGAAAGGGCAGAGATGCCCCACGGCAGCTGAGGGTGGCCAGGTGAAGGGGCCTCGGAAGGCTGCCAGATTGAAAATCAGGCTCCTCAGAAACAAGCCCGGCCCCTGCCCAGGCCTGCCTGGCTTCCCAGTCCCAAGAGGAGAGGCCATCTCTGGGCTGCAAGGGCTGTGTTGACAGTGGGAACAGATGACCCTCCGAGGCTCTGTCATTTCCAGCCACCGGGGCTGATGTTGGTCTAAACGGGCCTGTGGAAGGTCTGGCAGCCTTCAAACCCGGTGCTGGGCCTGAGGGCTGGTCCTGCCCTGGCTGCCCCGACCGTCCCTCTCATAGCGTCGATGCGGTGCTCCCTCTGCCCAGCCCCACCAAGTGCAGCCCATCCACACGCACACCTTCATGTGGTCAAAGGCAATGCCCACTTTCTCGTTGAAGTCAGGGCTGAAGAGGGGGATCTTGGCGTAGCGCTGGCTGAAGTGGTTCAGCATGATGAACCTGGCGTTCATGCGCATCCCCACGCTGATCGCCTGGGAGGTGGTGCTGCAAATGGAGGGTTGGAGGGTTGCATCCGGCTGAAGCGCCCCCTTGGGCCTGCACTTGCCCCCTCCCCCCAACCTGCCATATTCCCTGTCATGGCTCACAACTGGTTCCAGCCTGTTTCAGCTCTTTCTAAAGCTGGGCTGCCTCAGAGCCTTGCCTAGAGCTCTGCAGAGATAAAGCCGAAGGCCCCGAAGCCAACCACCGTACGGTCGCAGCCCACAGCCCCTAGTGGGACGCAGGCAGGTCTTCCTCAGCAGGGCTGCGTGAGGCTGCCGAGCCACAAGGAGGCGAAGGGAGGAAGTGGGTGGCAGGCCGAGCATTCGCAGCTACCTGTGTGTCTTTTCCACGGCCTCCACTTCCAGACCGTCTTCCAGCGTGGCCTCGTGAATCAGGAGGGTGGCATCTTTCCCTGGAGGAAGCATGGGCGTGGGGCAGGGTCCTGGGCTGGACAAGCACTCGGCCCTGGATTCCTGCCCTCTCCATTCCCTGACCCTGTGCCCTGTGTGCATGCCAGGATGACCACCAGCTGTCAGCCGCCTCTACTCACCCATCTGGACCAGAGCCTCGCAGGGCATGGTGTCCCCCGAGAAGACCAGCTTCCAGCCGGACGTGTGGACCAGTGCACAGCCATAAGCATGCTTGCAGTGCCGGACCTGGCAGGTCTGAAACTGGAGGGCAGGGCATGGCTGCAGCGGCGCCCCCTCACCACCAGATACCCTCACTGTCCCCCACCCCCTGCAGCCGCCCCATACCTCCTCCAGATCACAGGCTCTCAGCAGTGAGCCAATCCAGCTCTCAAGTGTGGGGCTGGAAACCTCGGCTCCTTTCTGAAGGCATTTGGCAGGGATCACACTGTGAGAAAGAAAACATTTAAACAAATGTAACTTGAATCGAAGTTTAAGAACTTGGGAAGCCCCCAAATCATTATAAAGAAACACAATTTAAACCACAGTCAATTAGCCTGGGAAAGGTAAGTAGAACCAAACCAAACCCCCAGGCCACTGAGAAACCTTCCCAGTGAGCTGCCCACAGCGAAGGGGCCACGCCTGGGCCAGGCAGACGGACTCCTTCCCACGAGGTGGGCCTAGGGCCAATCCCACCAGGCATCCCCTGGCGGGGCAGCCTCTGTGCTCCCAACTCGGGCACGTGGCCCTGCAACTGTTTTATCAAGAAGTGTTGGCAAAAGTCTAGAACGGAGCTTAAATGAGGCTGCGAGGAAACCAAGCAGACAGACATCTAAGTGAAGCCAGCTTGAGGTTTTGCCCGAGTCAAAGCTTTCTCCCTGCTTCTGCCACTGGGCTATGTCAGAGGAAGGTTGCAGGGGTATCCTGACCTGCCTCAGGTCAACCCTGAGCTGAGGAAGGGAGGTGACAGCCTCGGGGTGGGCTGCAGGGAGCTCACCTGACGTGGTGCAGGAGCGGCTGGCACTGGTTGTGGTACTGCTGCAGCCAGGCCCGGAGCTGTGTTGGGGCAACCACCAGCAAGGGGTGGAAGGGCTTTCCCAGCGATGCCTGGAACAAGGAAGTCAGTTGAGCCAATGGCAGGCATCCCAGGGGGTCTAGGTGTAACCCAGGCAAATCCAAAAGGCAGTGAGGTCAAGCCCGCACTCACCAAAGCACGTTCTCTCTGCAGCAGGATGTTTAACAGGCCCTGGAAGGAGAAAGGAGAAAGGAGACACAGATGAGACGAGGCACCAGAAACCTCAGCCTGGGGTGGGGTCCTCGCCCTCTATTGGCCACCAGCCTCTAACACTGCTGTTGGTGGGAGCCGGCACATGCTGATCCAAGACAGAGCAATGGCTGGGGTCCCTGGAGACCAAGCCCCGCCCCTCTGGCTGCAGTTTCATCCTAGGGCATGTGGGAAGGCAGACCCCTGCTGCGACATGACAGCAAGCAAACAGAAAGACCAGCATCCTTACGGGTAGAATCACTGAGCTGGGTTCTGTGAAAGACCATTACCTCCCAAGAGGTGAAGAACCGTGGGCAAGTTTGGGACGGAGGAGAGCAAGGCCACAGCTGCCTCAGGTGGGGTTCCGGGGTCCTGCCCAGCACTCACCGTATGGTGATCCGCGTGCAGGTGGGACACGAACACAGCAGCAAGGTTGCCCAAGACCCTGTCCACGTTGTTGCCATAGTGACGACACAGCTGCCCAAACGTACCTTCCCCACAGTCCAGCAGCAGGGACTTGTCAGAGCTATAGAGAAGAGAGAAGGTCAAAGCTGAGGAGAGGGCTCTCACAGTTCAGAGGCCTGTGACCTCAGAGAAGAGCTGCAGCAGCAAATGCACTGCATCTCCCATAACCTCGCCTCTGCTTCTCTGAGGACCTTGTACAAACAGGTACGCAACTGTAATGTCCATCCTCCTTATATAGAACTATCCACGGAACCCCAAAGCCGTTTAATGAATGTAGAAAGTTCCTAGAGGGGTAACACAGTGGACTGGAGCGTTATACTGTGAATCAAAAGGTTGTGGGTTCAATTCCCAGTCTGGGCACATAGCTGGTTGTGGGTTGTACCCCTAGTTGGGGTGCATATAAGAGAGCAACTGATCAATGTTTCTCACATGGATGTGTTTCTCTCTCTCCCTCTCTAAAATCAATAAACAGCCGGGACCAGTTTGGCTCAATGGATAGAGCGTCGGCTTGGGGACTGAAAGGTCCCGGGTTCGATTCCGGTCAAGGGCATGTACCCTGGTTGCGGGCATATCCCCAATAGGGGGTGTGCAAGAGGCAGCTGATCGATGACTCTCTCTCATCGACGTTTCTGACTCTCTATCTCTCTCCCTTCCTCTCTGTACAAAATCAATAAAATATATTTAAAAAAATAAAATAAAATCAATAAACATATCCTGTAGTGAGGATTAAAAGAATAAATATAGAAAGTAGGGTTAAAAATGACAGCAGAGTAAATGGGTGCTCCCAGGAACAAGCCTGAATTACAGCGAAAATAACAGAAAAACTTCCTGAATAGTCAATGTAAAACTCATAAGAGAGAGCCCTGATATGAGGACCAAAGGTGGAGACCTCATTGAGACTGGTAGGAGAGGCAGAAGCATGAAAGGACTGGCTGTGCACCCACAGATGGCAACTGAAGTCCTGTAGAGATAGATATCTTAGCTGTGGGGAGTGCCACTAAGAACTCTGACATGTAATCCGTAAGGTGGGCACCCCAGCAGAGATCAACAGAACTGAGAAGGGTACCCACATCTGGCTGTGAAAAGCAGTGGGGTGCTGTCTGCCAGGAAGTGGCAGCTAAAAATTCAGGCGCCTTCTTAAAGGGCCAGCATACAAAATTCCCAGTGGAGCCATCCACCTGGTGCTCTGGCAAAGGGAGGGTGAAGTGGACTTGAGCTGTGAGAGCAGAAGCCAGGACTGGGGTCTTGGGGGATAGAGCTCAGAAGGCACACTCCCCAAGTTATCTGGGCTGAGTCATTCCCTCACACAGCAGAGGACATCCTTCCTATATAGACATCTGCCTTGTCTGGGGAGAAGGCAGTAAAAGCATCCTTTTGGAAAACACCTTGCTCTGAGACCACTTAAGAGATTAAAAATAACAATTAGCCTCCAAGCAGAAGCAAGTGCCCCACCCTATTGAAAACACTCTCACTACACCTGAGAACAATTGCCTAGGGACAATTTAAGTCAGGATCCTATCAGTCTGTAGACAGAGGCAGTCTCTGAAGGCTTTGAGTCTTTGCCTGATCTAATTAGTCAGAAACAGCCTTTAGCACTTTGCTGTACTAGAGACTGAGAGGTGTAGAGGATTCACCTAAAACATAGTCACAAACCCAGACAGCCAAAATGAGGAAATAAGAAAACAAACTCCCAAATGAAAGAACTAGAGAATTCTCCAGAAGAAGAGATAAATTAAGCAGAGATAAGAAATTTATCTGTAACAGAGTTCAGAGTACTGATGGTAAAGATTCTCAACAGCATGAAAAAAGATATAGTAACTATGAAAAAAGAAAAGTCTGAAATAAAGAATGACATAACCCAATGCATTGGAAGGAATACACAGCAGATTAGAGGAAGCTGAGAATCAGATCAGTGCATTAATAGACAGAGTTGAAAATATCAATTAGAGAACAAAAAAGAAAAAATTAAAAAACAGGAGGACAGTTTAAGGGTATAGGGTATAACAGGTGTGCCAGAAGAGGCAGAAAGGGAGAGAGGAATAGAGAAGGTGCTTGAAGAAATAATGGCAGAAAATTTCCCTAACCTGATAAAGGAAAAAATTACACAAGTTCAGGAGGCACAGAGAACACCAAGCAAGAGGAACCTGAACAGGCCCACGCCCATAAATATCATAATTAAAACACAAAAAATTAAAGACAGAGAATCTTAAAGACAGCAAGAGAAAAACTTACCTATAAACCATTTCCCCTAAGAACAGGAACAAGACAGGGATGCCCACTCTCGCTACTCCTGTTTGACATAGCACTGTAAGTGCTAGCCAAAGCGATCAGATAAGAAGAAGAAATAAAAGGCATACAAATTGGAAAAGAAGACAGAAGACAAAATTAACACCCAGAAAGCATGGCTTTTTTACACACCAAAAATGAACTCACAAAAAGAGAAACTTTTAAAAAATCCCATTTACCATTGCAACAAAAAAATTAACATACTTAGGAATAAACTTAATTAAGAAGATAAAAGACATGTACTTGTAAAACTACATGACATTGAAAGGATAGAGGAAGACTTAAACAAATGGAAGAATATACCATGCTCATGGACTGGTACAATCAACACCATTAAAATGGCCATACTACCGAAAGCAATCTATAGATTCAATGCAATCCCCATTAAGATACCAACGGCATATTTCACAGACATAGAACAAACTTTCTAAAAATTCATATGGAATAAAAAAAAAACTCCAAATAGCCACAGCAATCTTGAGGAAGAAGAACAAAGTTGGAGGGATCACGATACCAGATATCAAACTATATTTACAAAGCCACTGTTCTCAAAGCTGCCTGGTACTGGCATAAGAAGAGACATATAGACCAATGGAAAAGAACAAAGAACACAGAAATCGACTCAAGCCATTATGCTCAATTAATATTTGACAAAGGCAAGAGCATACAATAGAGTCAAGACAGTTCCTTCAATACATGGTGTTGGGAAAACTGGATAGATACATGCAATAAAATGAAACTAGACCACCAAATTGTACCATATACAAAAATAAACTCAAAATGGATAAAGGACTTAAATGTAAGATAGGAAACCATAAAAATCTTAGAAGAACCCTTAGGCAGCAAAATAGCAGACATATGTCATATCAATATAGCTCCTAGGACAATGGAAATAAAAAGAAACCATCAACAAAACAAGAAAGCCCACAGCATGGGAGAACATTATTTGCCAATGGTTTCTCCTGTAAGGGTTTAATCTCCAAAATTTACAGGGAACTCATATAACTTTTTGTATTTTGTTTATTTGTTTTACAGAGAGGAAGAGAGAGATAGAGAGTTAGAAACATTAGTCAGCTCCTCTTACACACCCCCTACTGGGGATGTACCCACAACCAGGGTACATGCCCTTGACCAGAATGGAACATGAGACCCTTCAGTCTGAAAGCCCACGCTCTATCCACTGAGCCAAACTGGTTAGGGTGAGAACTCATACAACTTAACAAAAGGAAGATAAACTATCCAATCAAAAAAATGGGCAAAGGACTTAAATAGACACACTTTGAAAAGAGGACATACAGAAGGCCAAGAGACATATGAAAACATGCTCAAAGTTATTAATCATCCGAGAGATGCAAATCAAAACAATGAGGTACCATCTCACACCTGTCAGAATGGCTATCATCAACAAACAAATGCTAAACAAGTGCTGGTGAGAATGTGGAGGAAAAGTAACCCTCATGCACTGCAGGTGGGAATGCAGATTGGTGCAAACACTGTGGAGAACAGTATGAAGTTACCTAAAAAATTAAAAATGGAGCTGAAACCAGTTTGGCTCAGTGGACAGAGCGTCAGTCTGCGGACTGAAAGGTCCCGGGTTCGATTCCAGACAAGGGCATGTACCTTGGTTGTAGGTACATCCCCAGTGGGAGGTGTGCAGGAGGCAGCTGATCGATGTTTCTCTCCCATCAATGTTTCTAACTCTCTATCCCTCTCCCTTCCTCTCTTTAAAAAAAAAATCAATAATATATATATATATTAAAAAAAAAAAAACATTAAAAATGTATCTCCCATTTGACCCAATAATCCCACTTCTAGGAATATACTCCAGGAAATCAGAAACAACAATCACAAAGGATATATGCACCCCTATGTTTATAGCAGAACAATTTACAACAGCTAAGATTTGGAAACAGCCTAAATGTCCATCAGCTGATGAGTGGATTAAAAAACTGTGGTACATCTACATAATGGAATACTACACTACTGTAAAAATGAAGGAACTCTTACCATTTGCAACATCATAGATGGACATGGAGAGCATTATGCTAAGCGAAATAAGCCATTTGGAGAAAGGTAAATATCGCATGATCTCACTCATTTGTGGAGTATAATGAACAACATAAACTGATGAAAAATAGAGCCATAAAAAAAATTTTAGAATAAAATATTTGCAGATTTTTAATATTTCCTACAACTTTTGTGACATTATACTATGTTTTGGTAATATTATATTTAAAATCTCTTTTTATTGAAATGTTAATGTTTATTCATACAAATGGCTAATTATTTTGTATCTATCTGGTACTAGATTTATTTTGTATTTTGAAGAAAAAAATTTTTTTTCATTAGTGGGAATTATGGCCTTACCACAGAATAGTACTTACAGAGCATTGGCCTGCAGACTGAAGGGTCCCAGATTCGATTCCAGTCAAGGTCATATACCTTGGTTGCGGGCACATGTGCAGGAGGTAGCTGATTGATGTTTCTCACTATCTCTCTCCCTTTCTCTCAGTAAAAAAAAATCAATAAAATATATTTTTTTAAATGCTTATGTGGAATGGGAGGGTGAACGTTCACCCTACCTCATAAGAATCCTGATTCTTCAGAACGCCTGTATGGCACCCACTGGTGACAGCACCAGAGGTGGGTGCTGTGTCACAAAAGATCTGGCTCCACCGGATGTTCTACCCCTGATGCAGTGCTGGTTTCTTCAGCCCTATCCTCACAGCTGGCTGGGGTAGGAAGGCCCAGGGGTCCTCCGGGAATGAGTAAGTGTGAGCCCTAGTGACCAGTAAAGCTCCGTTTTAGCTGCTCCCAAGCAGGACCTGGAGTTTTGACGCTGCAAGCTCTGCCGGCTGTGCTAGGAGCTGCCGCCTTGGACCATGCTCTGGTGAGGAGGTGGGTCTCTACAGCCCTTCCTCCTCCTCCTCCTCCTCCTCCTCCTGCGGGAGAGCCGTGAGACCAGGACGGCTGCACCCGCTTTTCAGAGAGAAGCTCAGGAGACATTACCATGAACCTTTCAGGGCTCTTGATTAATCTTGGCCGAGAAATGACAACAGGCAAACCCAAGTAAATCAACTAAAAACCATCCAATCGGCCGAAGCCGGTGTAGCTCAGTGGATAGAGCGTCGACCTGAGGACTGAAAGGTCCCAGGTTCGATTCCGGTCAAGGGCATGTACCTTGGTTGCAGGCACATCCCCAGTAGGGGGTGTGCAAGAGGCAGCTGATCGATGATTCTGTCTCATCGATGTTTCTAGCTCTCTATCCCTCTCTCTTTCTCTCTGTAAAAAAATCAATAAAATATATTTTTTAAAAAATAAAACAAAAAAATAAAAACCATCCAATCAAAGGGCTGAACACAAAATAAATGCAGCACCTGGAGGCCGTTTCCCATATGAGCAGTACCTCACTATGGGGACAAGGCCACGTAGGAATTAAGACCCCAATTCACATTTGCACCTGTCACTCATCCGCCAAGTAATCTGAGCATCAGTTTACTCATCCTTAAAATGCAGTCACTTCATAGGATTAATGTGAAAACTAAGTGAGATAATCTCTTAGCAAAGTGCATGGTACATAGTAGAATCAGCTATTTTTATCTAAGTACACATGGGTGCCCTGGCCAGATGGCTCAGTTGGTAGGAGCCTCATCCTCTTTATCAAAGTACACATGGGTGACACATCTCAGTGATTAACTGCGTGAGGAAGTCAGTGAGCTCCTGAGGCTCCTCGTGGGAGCACTCTAGCCAAGATGACCAGCCCCCAGGGTGCCACCGGCCGTGGCGGTGGAGACCTGGGTGTACAGAACCAGCAGGCTCCGTGATGGATGGCGTTTCCTGGAAAGCACTCATACCTGAGGTTGACAAGTGTGGCGCTGACATTTCGAATTTTCATGGGGATGGCGGACCCTGTTCCCAGGAAGATGATTTCTGGATACTGGCCTTTTTTCTCTATGGAAAAATGCATATGAAAGAGTCACATCTTTCCGTCAAATGGGAGCCAGCCTTCAGCCCTGACATGAGTAAGTCCCAGGAGGGCCTGGGGCTCCATGTGGCCAATGCCCTGATGGAAAGGCTACCATCAGAGGGTCACCGGCTATTTGGGAGCAAAGGGCTGTCTGTGGAGCAAATGAATTTCTTAGGCTTTTCTTCCATAGAATTGCTACAAGCCACTTCATTTACAAAGGGGCCTTCTTTGTGCTTGGAATCTGCATGTACTTCCAGGGGCTGCTGTCGCCTTGCATCAGCTCCTACCACCAGCACCCCGCTTCCCAGGACTGTGGGCTCAGGGTCAGCTTCAGAAAGGAGAGGCACAGCTGGGGCTGACATGCAGGGCACCTGACGATGGGCTCCCTCCACCACCTCTCCAGTCTGACAGGTAGCATGTGCACATCCGAACCAGAAATCCAATCAAACCCAAAGACAAGACAGCCAGTCTTCCCCAAAACACCAGGAGGCCAGGCCAAGAGGTTGCTTGCCTGGGATGGAGTAGATTACAAGACCATCTTCTACTCCAGCCGTGTCCATTTCTATCATTAGTTAAAACGACACTGGGGCCCAGCCAGTGTGGTTCAGTGGTTGAGGGTCGACCTATGAACCAGAAGGTCATGGTTCAATTCCTGGTTCAAAACCTAGCACTTGCCCAGGTTTCCGGCTCAATACCAAGTGTGTAGCATATAGGAGGCATCGGGTCAATGATTCTCATTACTGATGTTTCCTCTCTCTCCCTCTCCTTTCCTATCTGAAATTAATAAACATATATTTAAAAATAAAGAAAATGACACTAGGAAAAGCAGAGGAGCAGAGATCACCAGATAACTGCAATTCCTCAAGGGAACAGGAAAACTGAGATGAGGGGCGTGGCCAGAATCCTCGGTGGCTCATTAGCAAAGCAGGACTAGGTCCCCATCCAACCTGGCTCAAAGTTCTTCCCTGCGCCTCCCAAGAGCTTCCAGAACTGCTGCTCTCGGCATGAGCCCTGGAGAGAGCCCGTGTGCCACCACCAAGCCTCTGTTCACTGGTCCAGAAGGGCAGGCACGGGTGTTTTCCGTCAGAAAAGAGGGAAGTAGCGGAGTGCATACATTAACCCAGTGAGTGGTGGGCTGGGAGAAAGGCTGCCCGGTCCCCCCTCACCTGCTGGGGCTGCTGGGCTGTCCCGTGTGGTTGCCTTATACTCTTGCACACTCTCTTGGAAATTCGGGAGGCTCAAGGCCTCGGCTACAAATTCATCAGGATTGCAAGTTAGAAGAGCATCCCTGCAAAGAGAAAGTAGTTCAGGCGACCATGGGGTGTGTGGCTGCAAACAAACACCAGGCTAGAGATCCATAATCAATTTGTGAAGAAAATCTGCAAAGTTGTTTCAAATCAAGATTGAAGACCAAGTGCCTCAGAGTCGGGCAGTTCTGTTTCGTCCGAGGTAACCCTCTCGGCTGAGTGGGAGTCTCAGAGTGAGCTCTGACTAGCTCCAGCTCCTCAGAACCCCTCTCAGCTCAGAGCCAGACCACCCTCGCACACTGCCATCTATCTGCTCAGTGAATGCTAGCAGCACTTGGATTCCCCTGCAGGCCAGGGGAGGGAAGCAGGGAAATCACCCCAAACGGTGCCTCTCAAACTTATATACATAAAATAAGTCTCCTTGAACCCCGTCAAACTGCAGGGCCTGATCAGCGGAGCCAGAGATTCATCCCAGCAGTCTCCAGGTCGTGCTGTGCTGCTGCCTGGCCATGCTGAGTGCAAGCCTCGGAGCAGTGGCTCGTCTGTCATCTCCCTCATCTGACTTGAGCACTGAGATCACCTAAGTGGCCTTAGGTCAGCAGTTCAGGAATTCCGTTTCCCACAGGTCCCAGGTGAGCGTGGGTGTGGCTACACTTACCGCAGCTTTGTTTTTTCTTTTTAATAATTTTTTTTAGTATATTATTTTTATTCATTTTGTACAGAGAGGATGGGAGAGAGATAGAGAGTTAGAAACATTGATGAGAGAGAGTCATCGATCAGCTGCCTCTTGCATACTCCCCACTGGGGATACGCCTGCAACCAAGGTACATGCCCTTGACCGGAATCGAACCCGGGACCTTTCAGTCCCCAAGCCGACGCTCTATCCATTGAGCCAAACCGGTTTCAGCATTAACCGCAGCTTTGTGAATGCCTCTGCCGCTGCAGACAAGCCTCCACCCTGCCTGGGGCGCTGTGCCCGCCCCAGCGGCATGCGGCCCCCAGCACCCGGGAGCAGGTCCACGGCGCACACTGCGGAGCCGACAGGCAACACCAGGGACTCCAGATGCAGGCCTTGAAAACTAAGGATGTGGGCCACAGAGCCTTTCGGGACGGCAGGGTGTTTACCAAGTGTTGTCAGGAGCAGCGGTCTCCAACCTTTCGGACCTCATGGACCACCAGCAGTCCGCGGACCACCGGTGGCAAATGCCGGTCAGGAGCATCCCTTGGGCTAAGAACTACAGTAAGGAAACTCTCCCAGTCCAAGATTGATACCTGAGGCATTTACTGTTTCACTAAAACAGCAAAGACTTGCAAATGCCTCAATGTAACAAACATCCCTCTATGGGCCTCTTGGGAAGACTTACTGTAATGAATGACACAGGAAAGATATTATACAGTACCAACTACTATATATATATATATATATATATATATATATATATATACACACACACAATACATCCCACATACTCAAAGTTACGAAAAGACTGTCAACAACCCTCTCATCTAATGCTGAAGGGATCATGGGGGATTATCTTCATCATACATTTCATACTTCTGCACTGAAAACAATGAACACCCAACACTGTTCCCAGCAGAGAAAACCACTGCGGAAAGGGAGAGGCATGGTCGCCACCTGCTGGAGGTCAGGTGCTCAACACCTGAGATCAGCTGGTTTCAGCAAAGCCCTGGTCCTGGAGCACAGCCGCAAGCCCACCTGCGGACTGTCTGTCGCTCTGGCTCCTGGGACAGTGGCAGATGGGTAGTTCCGACAGACACCACATGTGTGCAAAGACTAAAATATGCACAACCCAGCCCCTTCCCAACAACCACCTCCGGCCCAGACCGTCCACAGGCTGAGTCACAAACCTCTGCCACTCCCTCCGGGGCCGGAGCTGGTACTTGAGGAGGCATTCGGCACGGACCGTGGGCATAGAGAAGGCGGCGCCTTCCTCCTGAAAGAGAGAGAGAGAGAGAGCACACTCCATGGAGAGAGAGAAGAGGGAGTGCCAGGGCCATGGGGGCCGTCCCCGGACGCTACCTTACAGTGCAGGCTGGCGAGCGGGGGGAAGATGTCAGGGTGGATGAGGTTGAGCTGTGTCTGGATCTTGTGACTCCGGAGGTTGTGAACAGACGGACAATTCTCATTCAGGATCAGGTGCTGGGTGTCAGGCCCAAACCTAAGAAGGAACAGACTGCACATGCACAGCGTCCTGTAGGGCCTCGTCCTGAGGGGCAGTGCTGGGGACAGTGCCAACGTAGATCGAGGTGTTCAAAGAGCATAAGTGACTTGTCCAGGAAGACTGTTACTACCTGGCCAAACAGAGTCCTACTACTTCTGTCTCAAAGCCCAGTTTCTCCCCAAACTCAAACCAGAAAACAAGAACAGTTACAACGCTGGGAGCCTACAGCTACAGCCAGGAAACAGAGTGCAATGTGCAAGGGAGAAAAGCCTAGGAGGAAATAAGTGCCCCATGTCAGACTCAAGACCAAAGGGAACAGGCGAGGAGGGCCGAGGGGTGAGAGGCGCCAGGCCAATGAGGGAAGAGATGCAGGAGTTGCAGGCAGAACCAAGACAGGCAGGCTGACTGGCCACCCAGTGTCACCACGTGCTGCAAATTCAACACAAGTAACTCCCCACCCGATGCTGGCCCAGCCAATGCAGCCAACAGGAAAGCGTGCCCTCCTTCTAGCTCTACGATCTGGTAGACCATCTGCCTCACAGGGCTGTTGGAAGGATTAAAGAAAACAAAACAAAATGTAGACTAACATACTGCCTGACAGGGGTGTTTAATAAACTGAAGCTTTTGTTTTAAGCCTGCAAGTCTCTTTTTCAGGCTACACGTGTGGAATTGTCAAAAAGGCAGTGTTTATTCAGACATGAGTGTAGAGTGAGCTGCTGCTAAACAGGCCCCACACAAGCAGGACATGTGCGCACACGGTGCCCCCTAGTGGTAACACTTTAAAAAGGATGCAGGCACTGGCTCAGAATGCAGGGACAGCAGGAACCCCAAGGAAGTCTAGGCAGGCATGCAGTAAGGGTGGGAGCACCGGAAGGAGAGGGAGCATCACGCGTGCTGCTGGGCCAGGCTCCGTACCTCTCCATCCACTGCTGGTACCTGCCATCCGCAAGCACACTCTCTGGGGCCAGGTGAGCCACCAGGGCCACGGGGGCATCAGCACTTCCTTGGAACCTGGATGGGAGGAAGGTGGGCTTTGCTTTATAAAATGACACAACATCAGAGCATGCAGGAAGCAGACAGGGCGGCGAAGGTGGGGGCACCACTCGGCTCTCAGGGACCACAGTGCACACACAGTCTCATGTCCAGGCCAGGCTGTCCCCAGCTGCTCCCAGAGATGCCAGAGCAGGGTGGAGCCCCGGACTATCCGGGTCCCTCTATGCACAAGCTCTGGGCCTACCCTACACTTAAAACTCTAACTGGCCTATAACGTCCTAATCCGCTGGTCTCTGCTTTGTCATCTTTTCTAATTTCGCTTCCAGGCTGTGTAACCCACAAAGCCCACCAACCACCAATCACTAAGTAAACCCTGCCGGCAGGACGAGCCTAAGGTAGGAGACTGCCTTGGCCTTTCAAATCCTGACTGAGTGTCCAAGTGGCCCAGCTCTGGGCCAGGAGCAGCCCCAGGTTGGGAGGAGGGCGAGGGCGGGGGACGCCCTGTCAAGGCTGCTGGGTCCTACATGCAGTATGTGGGCTCTCACAGTATGTCACCCCCAGGACCCCGTTACCTCTGGAAAGCAGCGTTCTCGCAGATGGGTTGAATGAATCCTTTGTCTGGACACTCAACCACAACAAAGGTGAGCCCAGGGTCCGGGGGAGTACAGATCTCTTCAGCCAAAATCTGCAGGGTCAGAGAGCTGTGACCTCACAGAGCAGTGCCAGCACGGCAAGCACAGCTCGGCCCACAAGCCCACTTCCCACTGCACAGCCCAGGAGCCCAGGAGCCCAGGCAGCAAGCACAGGGCCGGCGGGAGGAGCACCACTGCCCCCTCCTGCCCCCTGCTCACTCAGGCAGGCATCTGACCGGCAGAGGGCATTTCAAACCAACAGTGGCCAGAAAGCCAGGCCTGGAGCACACGGCTCTCTCAGGTCTGTGGCCACTGGGCCTCAAATCCTTAGGCTCTAGAGAAAACATCATGGCCAAGAGCAAGGTAGCCTTCTTTGGGGCCATGCACCCAAAATCCATCCTTCTGTGGGTCTTCCCTGAGCTCAAGTACAAGGGAAAGCATCATCCTACCAGTAGGGGACCTCCAGACCCTAAGTGGGATACAGAAGTGCCCCAGGCAGCCAGCATAGGTTAGCCAAGCGACTGACGAAACCCAAGCTGCTCCACTTCCCCCAAAAGTGCTGTCTGCAGGGCCCGAGCCGGACAGAGACCGCCCCTGTGCCAGGCCCGACCTGTAGATGCGGAAACATCGCGAAAGGGGCATCTCACCTCTCTTCCCTCAAAAGTGACGCTCTTCCCTGCCTTGACGGCAGCAATGATGGGAGCGATGGCAGCTGTCCCCCTGGAAGGAAGAGGAGCGTGAGACGGGAGCTTGCCCACCAGGCGGCCCCACAAGGCCCCGTGGGAGCGGCCCCACACTCACACGGGGAGGCCCAGCTCTTTGGCTTTGAGCACCAGGAAGTTTCCCTTCTTCACGTGCAGCTGCAACGAAAAGAACGCAAATGTACGCCCAGTAACTAATGAAGAGGCGTGGTTTAATCAACTTTCAAATAAGTGCATCGTTCTGGTTTTACTTATTATTGTTATTACAACTCATTAGCTGCAGGCTAATTTACTGCTTTCAGATAAAGTATATGATATTCTGAAGTCATTTGTTTTGAAACGCTTTAGTAATAAAAGCTGAATGACTTAAAAACACAGTGCTTTCGTTCTCAACATTAATTCCCTGTAAATGTATAAAATGTAACCCATTCCCATAGCAAGCAAGAAGTATCCTTCTAGCATCCTTGTGGAGAAATGCTGCACTGTGCTAGCGCCCTGCACTCCTCAACTAATAGCTAACGGAGCGCCACCAAACAGTCTGATGGAGAAATGACCATACACATCCCTGTCACGCAATATTTGGGGCAATGATACGTAATACAAATGTTTTCTTTTGCACATTTGATAATATAATGCTGTTGTTTTTATAATGGAAAAAATTATAATTAAAAATTTCCGATATGTTGTTATTACAAAGAGAAAATAACAATCCTATCACGAAACCTCATAATCATCATTCTATACTTAAATATTTGTTCACACATTTTTAGGATCTGCGTATATCACACACACATAATAGTATATTTGAATTTTCCTTTCCTTTATATATGTATATGTATATATGCCTTTAGTCAGACCTGGAAAATACCTTATTATAATAACATTTTCATAGAATTTGACCAACTTCAGATTTGTAGATCAAGGCCTTTGTGAATGCTAGCCAATATTTAATTAGTATCCTGCTGTTAGCACTTAAATAATATTAACTAAAACAGAGCTGAAAGATTCTGAATAAAGGCCTGAGTCATCTGGGGAAAAGCAAACAAAAATAAAAAAATAAAAAAATAAATTAAAAAAAACTGTCTCTAAAAAAGTAGCCTTTAACTTCAGAAAGATAGCCAAATATTTTAGGCAATCCTAATGTGAACAATGGAGAATCTGTAGTATACAACAGCTTAGGTGGATACTGGGAAATATAAGTATCCATGGTTTCACCTTGGCACAGGGGCTCAGCAGGTGCTCCCTAAGGTCTACTGGAAAAGTGATGGCTCCAGGTCCCACCCTCACATAACACCCACCAGAAAGATGCTCACCTTACAGACGAAAGCTACGACCAAGGTGGGGTCCCTTCCACTCTTTTTCCGGCTGACATCTGAGAAAAAAGCAAAACTGATGGTAACAACTGTGAAGGTTTACAGGCTTCCCAGATGGATGGCCATCGGATACCTAATTTACTTCCCGCTATGAAACAGATAAACCGTTCCCTACAAAGGCTGGGGAAGGCACTGGGGTTGTTTCTATCAGACCTGGTCTCCCCCACTCAGGTGGAAATCTAAGTGAGTGAAAAATGCAAGGCTCCACCCAAAAACCTTTTAGAATGGCGAGTGGACAGTGACACAGTTACTGAGCAGTGGGGAAGTGAGAGAAACAAGTTGTAAGGTGCTTTGTAAACAAGTATAAAAACATGTGAAATGACACAAAAGCTAAGAGGCCTGTGGAGAAAGTCTGGGTGGAGTCTTCACCCGTTTCATCCAAGAAAGGATGCTACAGGGCCGGCCTCTTTTCTGTCAACAGACAGGACCACCTCAGGGCAGAAAGAGGCACTTATCAGCCGTGCCCAGCACTGGACAGACCCTCACGTAGTCCGTCCTCTGATACATCTACCCTGGGATTTAGTTCATTTCCCAGTAGGTTGTCACTCTGAGAGAAAAGGTGCAGATCCACTCACTGATACGACTGCTCTGTCAGCTCAGCAGTGACAGTTCTGCGTTCATGACAAATTAATTTGCATTGACAAAAAGCCTACAAGCCTCTGTATGAATCGATTTGCCTGCCTCTGGGAAGAGCACAAAGTCTGGGCACACAGGGCCGCGGACTGGCACTGTGTACAGGCCAAGGCTTACTGTGCAGGAGCACCGCAGCCGCTGTACAGGGGAGCGCTGTGTGAGGGCTCTCTCGGGAGCAGGGGGGCCGGGGCTGAGAGAACAGTTCTGACAGTGACTGCTCTGTGACAGCATTACCATCTGGAAAGCGCTGCTCGTTTTCAGAGGACGCAGAGTCGGAAGACTGCTCTGGACTGCGCCTGCCTGGACTCTGTGATGGCTGGTCATTTCCACACTTCTCTTCACCTGGTCAGCAAGAGAAACGATGCAATTACACACCTGCAGGGGGAGCTCCCAGCAGAGCCTGGGTGTTCACACGTGGGAATGCCATTAAGCCAGCATGCCTGCTCCCAGCACAGTAAACAGACACGCCCCCTCCTGGTCACCAGGCCGCGTTTACATCAGACTCCCTTTCCATTTCTGCCCAACGCGGAGCCCTGACCAAGGTGGGAACTTAACAGGGTTTGTTAACTAGGAAGCATGCAGCAGGAGCCTAGTTTACGCATCATCATTACTCTCAATAAGCAGACCAGCCTGAAAGTGGCCCTACCCCCAAGAGGGGACATAATTTTGCAGTCAGTTAAATCTCAAGGTTAGAAAGCTGCCTGCTCCCCGGCATGCTCATCCCAGGCCTGCTCGCAGGAAAGCAGGCCAGCAAGCTGAACAGGGTCCCACTGGCCACACAAATATATGCAAAAGCATACTGCTCAGTGCTAGGGAAGGATACAGGGTGCCCCACAGGAATAGCAGGGGGCACAAATCAGGTGGGTAGGGTCAGGACAGGAAAGCCTCCTGAGCAAGAGCGAGCCAGACAAGGCGAGTGTGGGTCAGAACCACATAGTATGCACTGTGCCTTTGCTGGGGGCATGCCCCTCGCCTCCTATCTCCTGCCAGGTCCCGGCCTGTACCCCCTCAGCACTTGGCCAGCAATGTCAAGGAAGTGACTGACTCCTAGGAATCTGTCTGGCAGTCAGTAAACCTGATGGAGCGTGTTCAGTCAGACTCAGAGGCAACACCCACAGGGCAGGGCCTGATGTGAACTGTCCCTCTCTAGATCAAAACTACTTCACCTGCCCTGGGACCTGAAGGGGTTCCCGTGACCTTCTGACCTTTGACAATGCTTCTATTGGGTGGCTGTGTGCTTAAAAACATCAGATTCCTCTCATCAGAGGAGGCACTTACATCTGTGGCAAATACACCTCAAGCAAAAAAAGCAAATGTTAGGAAAACGTGTTTTCTGCAGCGCTCGATTACATTATATTCTGCAGTCACTATCATTACACAAGAGTTAAACGTGTCTGCTCAGACAACCAAACAGGGCTCACAAAACCAGTATCCAAGCAGTTCCCACTCTCACCCAGGCCTCCCTCAGCCTGGGCCTACGCCCTCCTCCCAGGAAGGGCGCCTCCGTACTCACTGTATATGGGGATCTGGAACACCGTCATGGTCTCATCCTTATATTCGGGTGCGGTGTAGGGCCGCACAGCTTCGCGCAAAAGAGGAAAGCAGCCGCATTAGTACAGACACGTGGGAAAGTCCACTTTCCAAACCACCAGCCACAAGCAACTGAACTGACTTGGGCTTGTGATGAGAATCTGCACTAAAACCAGTTGCTGAGTAAATGAAAATTCGGGGGAAAGCAGCAAAATATACTTTCATCAGTTACTGGGGCCAAATGAAAAGACACGATCCCTGGTAGCTAAACATTTGCAAAAAAGGAAGAAACTAATACTCCAGTTTAAGAAGCACAAGTTAACATACAACACGGTGAGGCCGGAGAACCTGTGGCCTGCCCTGTGAAAGCCAGGACAGATCTGAAATAAGATCCGGGCATTTCCACTGGAGGGGCGCGGGGGGAGGAGCACAGGGGGAGAGGCGCAGGGACACCCGGGAGGAGCACACCGCTCCAGGCCAGGGACTGCGGGGCTGCGGCATCCTCCTTAGGCCTGTCCCTAAGACGAGGCGCACGCAGTGCAGCCACACTGAGGCTCAGTGTAAGAGGACAGGGACAAAACCTGCAGGCTTCTCTCATACCTTCCCTCCCCACTGCGGAAACTCACGGTTCATTGACTCTGAGAACCGTCTCCAGCCCTATTTGGGGGAAGGAGGTAGGGGCACAGAATGTAACAGACAATGTTTTAAAAATGCATCTATATTGAGGAAGGATTCATTTTAAGGTTTAATTTAGTCGGTCCCCATGGATTCTAATTTGATAGATGGGGGGCGTATGTGAGAAAGAAATGGCAGATAGTGAGTCGGAGGCAGGGACATACCCAGGTCTATTCCTTTCAGTGGACCAGAAAATATTTTGATAGCTTCAAGGTATTTTTCCTACAAAAAAGAAAGAAAAGTGAGCAGTGATGGTTGCATAGATGCAGAATGCAACAATACATCTGAGTACATAAGAGGCATCAGCATGACCTAAAGTAATTTAAACTTCCTCTCCACAGATAATAGATCAACCGAAGGACTTGTGTACATGCATATAAGTACAACCAATGGACATAAAACTCTGGGGAGGGAGGGTATGTATGCGAGGGAGGGAGGGGGGCAAAAAAAATCAATAAAATATATTAAAAAAATAACAATAAAAAAAATAAACTTCCTCTCCACAAATCTTCACCAAGTGTCCACTATACATCAGATGCCAGGGATTTAGCAGGGAGGAGAGGGGATGCCTGCCCTCGTCCATGGAGACAAAAATGAAACAAATGATAACACAAACAAGGACACAGTGGCAGTTGTGCTCAGAGCCCTTCAAGAGAGAAGCCTGGCTGGTGTGGCTCAGTGGTTGAACGTTGACCTATGAACCAGGTCACAGCTTGATCCCTGGTTGCATGCTCAATCCCCAGTGTGAGACATGTAGAAGGCAGCTGATCAATAATACTCTCATCACTGATGTTCCTATCTCTCTCTCTCCCTTCCTCTCTGAAGTCAATAAAGATATGATTTAAAAGAAAAAAATTTTTTAATTAAAAAAAGAGGAGAAACACAGCGGTTTTCCTATTGAGGAATAGCTTGTCTGGAGAATAAGGGATGGCTCCAAAGCCAACAACCTTTCGGCTGAGTTCCGAAGGACAAGAACGACGCAGGAAGAGATGCAAGGGGGTAGAGGTACTCCTGTATGGATGAAACCCTGAAGTGGGAAGAGCTTTAGTGGACGGCTAAGAGTTGGCCTGGTGACTGGGATACAGATGCAGGTGTGGGCAGGGCCACGGCCTGCAGGACTTGTGGGCCATATTACGGTGTTTGGAATGTCCTGAATGGAGAACCCTGGAAGGGTTTTAGGATGGAAGTAACATGTCTGCCATTAAGCCTTAAAGAGGTTCCTCCATCTGCTGTGTGGTGGGTGGACTACAGAGAAGCAAGGATGGAGATGGGAAGCTCCCACACACACAGGTGCAGGAAGCAGGGATAATGAAGGCCCTGATGAGATGGGGACAAATGGATGGGTTTGAGACATCATTTTGGAGACAATTAATAGTCCTTGGTGACTGGCAACCTTCCTCTTAAAAACTGGGAAATAAACTGTTATATTCAACAGTTACAATAACGCACACTTTTTAATGGTGAAGCAGATCTAAAAGGTATGAAGATGTCTCAAATGTAATAAACAGGAAAGAATAAAGAATAGCACTTATTGTGTGCCTACTTGGTGTTAACCCTTTAGAGGTGTTTTGTTTTTTAAGTATTTATTTTATTTGTTTTTAATTTTTAGAAAGGGAGGAGAGAAAAAAAACATCTACGTGAGAGAAACATCAATCAGCTACCCCCAGCCAGGGATCACACCGGAAACCTGGGCTTATGCCCTGATCAGGGATTTTTTTTTTTTATATATATATATGTTTTTTATTGATTTGAGAGAGAAAGAGAGAGAGAGACAACAAGGATGAGAATCATCCATCGGCTGCCTTCTGCAAATCCTCCCCTCCTCTCTTCCCCCGGGAATGGATCCTGCAATCCTGGCATATGCCCTGATCGGGAATCAAACAGTGACCTCTTGGTTCACACCTGACCAGGAACTGAACCAGCATCCATTAGGTGCATGGGACAATACGCAACCAGCTGAGCCATACTAGCCAGAGCTGATTTAGTATTTTATATGTGTTACCTCATTTTTTTTCTTTTTTTAAATTTTTACCTTTTATTTTTTCTTTATTGATTTTAGGTAGAGTGAGGAAGAGAGAAACATCAATTTTGTTGTTCTACTTCTTTATGCATTCATTGGTTGCTTCTTGTATGTGTATTGACCAAAGATCAAAGCCACAACCTTGGTGTGTCAGGATGATGCTCTAACCAACTGAGCAACCTGGCCAGAGCTGTCATTTACTCTTTAACGACTCTCTGACACATGACAGCCATTTTACAGAGAAGAAACTGCGGTAGCTTGTTCAAGGTGATATAGTCAGTAAGTTCTGAATGCAGGCCTCTTAATTTTGAAAGGTGTTTATTTCACTATTGATTACCTCTAGGGGGAGCAGAAGCCTGATTTACAAAAAATGAAGATTCTTGCTATAACTTTAAAAGAAAGATGGATTAGTTTTGGAAGCTGAGCCAGGAGACTCACCAGTTGTGGAGGTCCAGAAAGCACACACTTTGGGAGCCCGGTTTCCTTTAGGGTAAGAATCATTCCTGGAAAGGACAAGTACAATCAAATCTCAGCACCCTGCCCTGCAGTCACAGCAGCAGAGCGCCTCGTCACCCAGCCCCTCTTCTATCTAAGGACCAGGGAGCACGTGTGCCGCAGACGGGACACCGTACACCCCTCAAGCGCCTCTCCATCGGGCAGGGATGACAATAGGTGAGGCAGTGAGGCATCTAGAGCAGCAGTCAGCAAACTGCAGCTTGAGAGCCACATGCGGCTCACAAGACACGGTTTGCCGCTCTATTGACAAGAGTTTGCCGACGACTGCCCTAAATGCTCGATTCCAATAATTACAGGCTGTTGTTGTTCCTTGTTGTTCCTTCCTATCCCAGTGGTCTGCAAACTCATCAGTCAACAGAGCAGCAAACCGTGGCTCGAGAGAGACCCAGTTTGCCGACCACTGACTTAGAGCACAAAACCACTCAACTGAAGGGAGGGTCTTAAATTCTGCAACCCAGGAACCTTCCGGCCTCACTCTAGTCTCAGCTTGGAGAACACAACCAGTGCAACACGCCTTCCCACCCCCACCACAAAGCTTAGAGAATGTGGCCACAACACAACATTGACCTGTGTAGTGAGTGGGCGTGAAGAAAGAGGTGACATAGTGGGTATCTGTGTGGAGCCCCACTGTTCTCCGTGGTAAATGCATTTACTGTAATCTCCATGGCTACACTCGCCGGTTCACTGTCATGTATCTCCAGTCAAGCAACTCAGTAAAAGAGTGGATGATAACACAGGGCAGTGTCCATGTTCAACGCCACCTCCCCATGCTCTGTGCAGAGCTGACTGGCTGGGCACACAGAGAATCCCAGCTCCCCTGGACTCAGAAGATAAGCAAAAAGGGCAAGCAAGACAGCTTAACACCCCACGGCGTCCCTCCAGCCTAGGGCCTTGGGAAGAACACTCACCACACAATCCGCCAACGTTACTCCAGTGCATCCGGGTCAGGAATATGTTGTCCAAACGAGACACCTTCAGCCTAAGAAAGAGAAAACATCTGAGCAGGACACAGAGGATGCACCAGGGACCCTTTCTGCTGCTGGAAAGATGCAGCTTCCTCTCCCTTCAGCTTTCACAGCCCAGGTCATCTTCCCGCAAAAGGAAGCGGCTGACTCACTTGTGCTCCTGCATGAGTCGCTGGACTCCTTCCCCGCAGTTGAAGAGGTACCTGCAGGACGAACATGACAGAAGTTACTTAGCAGATTCTAGTTTGTAAAATTTCCACCACCGTTTAGATGCTTTAGTGCACACTCTGGAAAACACACACACACACACACACACACACAGAAAAAAAAAAAAAAAACCACAAAAGCTGAAAATCCATGCTGCACTACCGGGCCGCGTTCTGCTTGCTATTAGGCTGCTGGTTTTGAGAGGCTCCTTAGCAGAGACTGGAGGGATAGGGGTGGGGAGGCTCTGCAGGATGGTGCTGGTGCTCAACGGGTCCTTTCCCCATCGCAGGCCTGACGACCTCACCCACCGACTCCTGGGCCACGCCTGGGCGCGCACAGGAGGGGGTACGGTTCCCACAGTGCCAAGAGGGAACTCGAGGGCCAAGGGTTGGAGAGGGGACGCTTAGAGCCAAGCCTGGAGTTCTTCAGGGAGCCCGGACACGTGACAGACGAGGGATTACTGGATCCAGGCTGCCCCACCCAACCAAAGACAAGTTCGCACAACAGCGAAACCCCACGAGTCAGCCGGGCACCGCAGCCCAGGGAGGTGCCGCGATGCTCCCGGGCGCGCGGCGCGGAGGGCGGGCAGGCGGGCTGGCGGGGCTCGGTGGGGGCGGACTCCGGCGCGACCACTGACCGGTTGTACTCGGAGAAGACATAGAGCGCGGCGCCTGCGTCCCTGCCGCCCGCCGCCACCACCTGCAGGTACACGTTGTTGGGGCCCCCGGGCTCCCACGACGGGCCGCGCTTCTCCCGCGTGCGCAGGTGCCTCAGCGGGTCCTTGGGCGGCCGCGAGCGGCGGGCGGGCCCCTGCGACATGGTGCGCCCGGCCGCGGAGCGCAGCAGCAGCAGCGCGCGGAGAGCCCACATGCGCCAGCTTCCAGATGGAGAGGCGCAGCGGGTCACCTCGCTCCGCGTGCCCGCCCCGCCCCGCCCCGCCGCCGCGGAATGGCAGGCCCAGCCAATCAGCGGGCCGCAGGCCAAGCTGCCCCGCCTCCGCGAGGCTGCGCGTCCAATGGAGAGGAGCCTTGCCTCTGGGCTTGTCAATTGGAGGCAGCCATAGAGAAGGAGAATGATAGAGCGCCCGGGAGGTCCCGCCCCTCGTCTTTTTCCGGCTTCCCCGCCTCAGCTCTCCCCGGAAATAGTCCCTGTGCCCGGGCTTCCGGGAGCGCGTGAGGCGGACTTGGAGTTTTCATTCCCTGTGAGGAGGGTTTTGCTCTTGCTTGTTTTTGTTTTTGTGTTTTTAAATCTTTATTGATGAAAGCATTACGTATGTCCTCCCTTTTCCTCCATTAACGTTACTCTTCCATCCTGCTGTCCTGCTTTTGGTTGTGTTAGAATTACATGGGAGGAGATGAGAGAGTAGCAGCTTTCTCTGGTTTTATTTTAATCGTAATTCATATGAGCACATTGTTAATGAAAAAAAAATATTGAAACTTGTAAGGAATTTTAGTGAGTTTATTTGAACCAAATTGTCGACATATGCCAGCAAGCAGAACCTCAGTGGATTGAGATAATGCTCCAAAGAATGGCAGGTTATATTTCTATTTATACATTGCAATCAAAGGAGTGACATAGGTGGGTTACATGAAATTCATTGGTGATGGATTAAGGAGGTGGAAGAAAACAAAAGGGTGGGAAATCCCTGGGATTGGATAAAAAGTAAAATGGTGAACACATACTTAGGTGGGTATAGGAACAATTAACATGATAATGAAGGAATTTGAGCATCTGTCCTGGTGCCCACCACATCTGGTTGTGCCCCAGGGGCTCCAGAAAAAGGGAAGTTACAAATTACCCAGACATCTCATAGATACGTTATCTTAGAGGCAAAAAGGCAAATGGACTCAGTAAAGAAGATCTAAGTTGATCTTTGACAGGAAAAATATCAGCCTAGGGTATGACTACCCACTATAACCTGTTTGTAGTTTTTTTTTTTTTTTTTAATATATTTTATTGATTTTTCACAGAGAGGAAAAGAGAGGGATAGAGAGTTAGAAACATCAATGAGAGAGAATCATTGATCAGCTGCCTCCTGGGGATGCGCCCACAACCAAGGTACATGCCCTTGACCAGAATCGAACCGAACCTGGGACCTTTCAGTCCCCAAGCCGACGCTCTATCCATTGAGCCAAACCGGTTTCGGCTTGTTTGTAGTTAAAATATTTAATTTTCAAACCATCTTTTGTGGTTATTTTAGGTCTCTGAGTTTGCAAGACTGTACGCAGGCCTCCCCTGAGCTTGTCAGTTAGCATGTGGCTCTTTTGCTTCACAACATGTTTCAAATTATTACTTCTACTGGCTTTGGGGAAGAAAAGCAGGAATAGTATAGTAGGAGGGGTTACAGAACAAGCTCGGGGGCAAGTGTCCTGGACAGGTGTTCAGTCATGACCAGTACAGAGCTCGCAGCCTGGTGAACCCAGGAATCCACTGTGAAAGCCTAGCATGGAGCTGCCTTCCTGGGGGAAGGTCCTTGCATGGCCAACTCTAAAACCTGGGGAATGTTAAAGGAGCAATATGAGCGTTGGACTGGACCCGAGGCAACATTGTATCCCTGACTACTGTTTGCAAAGTTACCAAAAAAGCAAATGTTATGACTACCTGACTGATGACTACTGAAGCTAAACTTAAATCATTCTTTGGCATTGACATCGCTTTGTTGTCTGCACCTATAGAAAGGCCTTCCATCTACTGATGCAATCCCCAAAGATACCCATGGCCTCGTCTCCTCCTCAGAACATTGGTTTTCTGCCTGGATACCTATTCTCTGTATCTCAAATGTTTGCTACCTCTCACATTCGCCTTTAATTTTAAGGTTAACAACTAGAGATGAAATGAGCTGGAGAAAAGCAAATAAAGTATGATTTCACTTTTATATGGAGTCTAAAAATAAAACAAAGCACAAAAGAAAACATAAAACCCCTCACAGGAACAGTAGATTAGTGGTTGCCAGTGGCTGAGAAGTAAGGCAAACTGGTGAATTAGTCAAAGGGCACAGACATTCAGTTCTAAGATGAGTTAAGTTCTGAAGATCTAACATACAACATGGTGACGATAGTTCACAATACTGTCTTGTGTACTTGAAAGTTACTAAGAGGGTAGATCCTAAAGTTCTGACCACAAGGAAAGTAACTATAAGAGATGATGGTATATTAAATAACTATTACAGTAGTCATTTTGCAATGTATCTATACTAGTAAGAGTAATACGCTAATTAGACCAGGAGACCTTCTGGATGTCATTCCAGACAAAACCAGAGGCTTGGCCAGCCTGCAAACCACCCCCAAACATCCCTTAGCCCCTCACCCAGGTTGGCCACGTCTCTCAGTGGGGACCCTCACCCCAATGGGGGTGCGGTCAGACTGAAAACCACCCTAGGCACCTCGCCCAGGCCCGTCCCACCCCCCCAAGGGAACCCCCACTCTGATCCTGGAAGCCCTTCAGGGCAGACAAGCCAGCTCAAAAGGGTAATATGCTAATTAGACCGGATGTCCTTCCACATAAAGCCTGGATGGTGGGGCCAAGTCAGAGACAGTTAGGAGTGATCAGACCATCAGGATAGAGCAGCTAGGTGAATCAGGCTGGCAGGGGAAGGCAGTAGGAGACATCAGGCCAGCAGAAGAGTGCAGTCAGGCAGACCAGGCCGGCAGGGGATGGCAGTTAGGGGGATCAGGCTGGCAGGGGAGAGCAGTTAGGGGAATCAGGCTGGCAGGAAGGTGGGCAGTTAGGAGCCAGAGGTCCAAGATTGCAAGAGGGATGTCCCATATTAGAGTGCCAGCCGGACTGAGGGACACCCCCTTCCCATGCACAAATTTCATGCACCAGGCCTCTTGTACTTATATAAATCATTATTGTACACCTCAAAGCTATACAATGTTACATGTAAATTATCCTATGTAATAAAAGGCTAATATGCAAATCAATCTGTGGAACGACTGGTCACTAGGACATGCACTGACCACCAGGGGCAGATGCTCAACACAGGAGCTACTCCCTGATAGTCAGTGCGCAACCACAGGAGGAGCACCACTCAGCCAGAAGTCAGCCTCATGGTTGGCAAATTCAATGGCAGGGGCAGGAGCCTCTCTCTCCTCCTCAGCAGACTGGGGAGGGACAGTTCCTTTTATGCATTGGCATTAAGGAGGGAGCAGAGGAAGATTATATGAGGGTGAGGGAAGCAAAGTGGGGGTCAGATTGCAGTCAGATTATGTGCTCCCTTGAGGGTAACTATGGAGATTATATGCTCCCTCAAGGGTAGCTACACCTTGGAGGTTATTAATAATGTAATTATTAATAACATTTCAAAGGTGTGTTAACCTAGACGCACAAGAACTGTTGGAGAATGGGAATTTTTAAAAAAATATATTTTATTGATTTTTTTTTGCCCCCATCCCTCCCTCCCATAGATCCCCTCCCTCCCCAGAGTTTTATGTCCATTGGTTGTACTTATATACATGTATAAAAGTCCTTCTGTTGATCTATTATCTCCTCCAGATCTTTCTCCCCTCCCTGCTGTAATTTGACAGTCTGCTTGTTGATATACTGTTTCTATATCTATCTTTTGGTTCATCAGTTTATAATGTTCTTTATTATCCACAAATGAGTGAGGTCATTTTCTGTTTTTCTTTCATTTACTGGCTTATTTCACTCAGCATGATGTTCTCCAATTCCATCCAGGTTGCTGCAAATGATGAGAATTCCTTCTTTTTTATGGCAGCATAGTATTCCATTGTGTAGATGTACCAAAGTTTTTTGATCCAATCATCTGCTGACGGACACCTAGCCTGTTTCCAGATTCTAGCTATTGTAGATTGTGCTGCTATGAACATAGGGGTGCATATATCCTTTCTGATTGGTGTTTCTATTTTCTTGGGATATATTCCTAGGAGTGGGATTACTGGGTCAAATGGGAGTTCCATTTTCAGTTTTTTGAGGAAACTCCACACTGTTCTCCACAGCGGTTGCACCAGTCTGCATTCCCACCAGCAGTGGACGAGGGTTCCTTTTTCTCCACAACCTCGCCAACACTTGTCATTGTTGATTTGTTGATGTTGGCCATTCTGACAGGTGTGAGATGGTACCGCATTGTTTTGATTTGCATCTCTCGGATAATTAGTGACTTTGGGCATGTTTTCATGTGCCTTTTGGCCTTCCTCCTGTCTTCTTTTGGAAATATTCTATTTAGGTCCATTGCCCATTTTTTAATTGGATCATTCATCTTCCTTTTATTTAGTTGTATAAGCTGTTTGTAGATGTTGGAGATTAAACCTTTATCAGTGGTAACATTTGCAAATATGTTCTCCCACACAGTGGGCTTTCTTGTTGTTTTGTTAATGGTTTTTTTTGCTGTAAAAAAGCTTTTTATTTTGATGTAGTCCCATTTGTTTATTTTCTCTTTAGCTTCCATTGCCCTAGGGGCAGTATCAGTGAAGAAGTTCTTTTGGCATATGTCTGAGATTTTGCTGCCTGTGGACGCTTCTAGTATTTTTATGGTTTCCCGTCTGATGTTTAAGTCCTGTATCCATTTTGAGTTTATTTTTGTGTATGGTGTAAGTTGGTGATCTAGTTTCATTCTTTTGCATGTATCTGTCCAATTTTCCTAACACCATTTATTGAAGAGACTGTCTTGACTCCATTGTATATTCGTGCCTCCTTTGTCAAATATTAATTGAGCATAGTGATTTGGGTTGATATCTGGGTTCTTGATTCGATTCCATTGATCTATATGTCTGTTTTTGTGCCAGTACCAGGCTGTTTTGAGAACAGTGGCTTTGTAATACAGTTTGAAGTCTGATATTGAGATCCCTCCTACTTTACTCTTCTTTCTCAGGATTGCTGTGGCTATTCGGGGTCTTTTATTGTTCCAAATG